CCAACCACGATCATACGGTTTAACGAGGTGTCCAGCCATATCCACGCACAAGGAAGCAGATCTGGCCATGAGCATCCAGGACTTCACAAGCGATTGCCTCATTTTCAAGGAAGCCGCGTTCCATCTGTGCACCTGTAACACATGTTCAAGTTTCTGTTGCTGTTAAGGAAGTCTTATGCGGCAGTTCTATTTCGAACAGGAAGTGTCCACCATTCCTGTAGCTGTCGCAGGCTCTCAAGACGACTGTGTGCGGCGGTAAGACGAGAGCCCAATTTTGAAAATGAACCGTCATCCATCTTTAAAGGTTTTGCGCAAGCTTTGACGACGAATGTGCGCGGCGCTAGGGCGAGAGCCTCCTTTTCAAAATGAGCCGCCCTCCATATTTGAATCTCTTGCAACCTTTCATTCAAAATGAGTGTACGCGGCGTGGAGGTGAGAACCACATTTGGGAAGGAGCTGCCCTCCATCCTTGAACCTGTTGCAAGCTTTCAAGACGAATTTGCGTGACACTCAGGCGAGAGCCCCAGTTTGAAAACGACTCCCCTGCATCTCTGTAGCTGCCGCAGTCTTTGACGTCGAATGTGCCCATCGCTAAGGTGAAAGCCTACTTTGGGGAACCACCCCCTCCATCCTTGTAACTGTCGCAAACTTCAAGCTTCAGGGTCATACGTGCTGAGGAAGCCTCAGGCGAAACGGCCAGCCCGCACTACTGACACATCAGAGGGGGCGCAACAGGAAGGAGTCATGTACCAGCAGCAGGGATGAATGAGCTTGTATGGGGGCGAGACGAATCCGCAGCCTCCTCCGACTCCTCCTCCCCCGCGCGTCGCCTCCTCCCCCTCCGTGTGAAGCCTGCCCTCGCCCGGCAAGTTTGACTGGAGCCCCAGGTCCTGACCTCTGGAGGTCCCCGGAGGTCCCTGGAGGTCCCCGGAGGTCCCTGGTCCGCGGAGGCCCTTGGAGGCCCTCCGGAGGCCCCTGGAGGGCTCGGGAGGCCTAACGACCTTGCGATTCGACCTGGCGAGAACATGCCGCATGGTAACAAATCATGACCGGAACCCTGCACTTAGACCCCCTTCCTTGTTGCGGCGGCTTTCGAGCCGGATCGATCTGTGATGGTCCCAGAGTGATCTGGGGTGGACAGAACCCCCACCCTGACATGTCTTGAATGATTCGCTCTCCCTACTAATCCATATCAGAGGAAATAATTGAAATACGAGGGAATAAATAGGCCTAGAAATACTAAGAAATAGGCGAATATTACATAGCTGTTATTATACCACCAATGATGATATATGAGTAGAAAAGGAGCTCTGGGTAGGAGTGGGGGGAGCTTGAGCGTCGCGGGCAAAATTGTAGAGGGGGAAGGAGCTTGAGCGTCGCGGATGCACTGGGTGAGTAGGAGGAACATTGCAGGAAGTAGACGAGAAAGAGGCGGGTGAGGGGGTTGAACAATAAGGAAAAGGAGGGGGCGGAGGAGGGAGAGAAGGAGCAACAGCACTCAAGCCCACCAAGCCGCAGCCGAAAACACAGCAAAATCCGTCAAGGGGAACATTCGATACCAAATGACCGTTTTGTACATAATTTCCCCTCCCCACCCCCATCCCCTTTGGTTTTGGAAGCCCCGAAGCGGAGAGGGGCGACGAGAAGAGGGGCGGAGAGGGAGAGAGGGAGAAGTTGCAGGGGGATGAGAGAAGGAGAGGGAGAGGAGAAAGAGGGAGAAGCAGCAGGAGGAGGAGGAGGACGAAGGAGAGCGAGGAGCGCCGCTCGCGGCCGCTTTGCTCGCGGCCACGCGGCGCCCGCCGCCGCCCGCTGCCGCGGCCAATGGCCGCGCAGTGGGTGCACGCGGGGTTCGCGGCGCTGGCCGGCGCGGCCGGCCCTCGCCCGCGCCCGCGCCCTCCCCCGCCGCCAGGCTGGGGGAAGTGGGCGGAGGAGAGGGAGAGGAGGGGAGCGGAGGGAGGAGGAAACAGGAGGAGGAGGAGGAGGGGGAGGAGGAGGAGGAGGAGGAGGAGGAGGAGGAGGAGGAGGAGGAGGGGGAGGAGGAGGAGGGAAGAGGGAGAAGGAAAGAGGAGAAGGAGGAGGAGGAGGAGGAGGGATAAGGGATGAGAGGAGGGAGGAGGGACGAAGAGGAGGGAATAGAGAGAGAGCAGGCCACAATGGGAAGGGAGGTCGTGGCCAGCAGCAGCTGGAGGCGAATTACAGTGGTTTGGCTGCTGCATGGTCTCGTGGAGTGGGTACGTTGAGGCACGGAGAACTGGCTCAGGAGCTACACTATGATCCTGCTGCGCCCAGATTGCATCCAAATCAGTATGTACCCGAGGGCGTCCTCACGGATGCGTTTCGACAGTTGGCCGGCAGTGGGGGGGGGAAGCAGTCAGGGATCGGGTCCACCACTCATGGGCTGGGGACGTTGACGTGCGCTGCGTTTGCTGCTTCCCAAATGCAGGCGGCAAGATTATCTAGCACCTTGTCTGATGTCCACAATCACACAGAGGGTCTTCTA